ACAAACCACATGCTGTTTATAAATCCTAAACTCTTGTCGGTTTACTAATTGTTGCTCTTGTGTTGCCCTTCGAAACGCCAGTGTTTTTACACTCTTGCTTTTGCGGTCGAGAAGAATACAGTAATCCTGTTCCAGTTGTTTCGTTCATTTATCAGCCATTATATTCCGTCCTTTCGCCATAAAATGGTTGCATTAAGTACCTTCTGGTAGTAAAGCACAGCTATTGGAAAATCACCTTTTTCAAAAGTAAACCATCTTTTTTTAACGTGCCACTTTCGCAAAGTGTTTTTCACTACTGGTCATTTCATCCCAAAAAAAAAACGACCAGCGAACCAGCCAGCTCCAAGCCAGACACCAAGATCACCTCCGTCGCGGTGGGCAAAATCACATCCCTCGCAGGTCCAGCTGTTTCGTCGCCCACCACACGACCCAGCACTATGGCCATGCCCAATGGACTGGAGCCACTGGGAGCATCCAGCTTCACCTGGCAAAAACCATAGGAGAAATGGTGCTTGGGCCATAGCCAATGTTCATCAATGTTCTATATCAAATACCTCCTAGAAACATCTCGAATCATCATTTCAGACTGGATCTAATAGTTTTTTTGGTGTATTTGTTCAGAGATGATCATGTTGTCAGCAACAGACATGGCCGGTGACTTCGTCGGGCCTGTGGGATGGCCGCTATAATCATCTCCCGAAAGCGCTCCTGGATCCAAATCGCCCAGAACATGAATGTCACCAGCAAATCTGGGGTGCACCTCGTTGTGGTGATATATTGGGATATGGATTGGGATATGGTAGCATCTGTCGAAAAATCCTGAAAAACATCTAGACCAAAACCTCTAGAAGTGAATGTTAGGTTGAGGTAATGTTGGGTTGAGTCAATGTCAGGATGGAATTAATGTGAAGTTGAGCTAATGTGAGGTTGAGTTAATATGAGGTTGAGGTCATGTTAGGTTGAGTCGTTGTGAGGGTTGAGTTAATGTGAGGATGAGTTGATGTTAATTTGAGATAATGTGAGGCGGAGTTCATGTGAGGCTGAGGTATTGTTAGGTTGCGTCAACGTGAGGTTAAGCTAATGTTTTCAGGTTGAGCAATTTCAGTCATCCATGCCTCGGAGTTTCTCTACGAAACTTCACTGAACTATATACTGTAGATCCCCACCAGCGGAGTTCGCAAGACCATTTTTGAGGCATGTGTGACCAAAATTCTGGCATTCCAGGAAACTCCGGTTTTGGTACTCCCCAATCCCCAACTTGCCAAAAAACGACGCGTTTTTTGGTTTCAGGCGCACCTCAATATCCAACTGCAACCTGCGCTTGAAGCAAAGCCTCCAGATACGCCGAGTCGACAACGAATCAAAAGTTGGGAAAACGTGTTGAAATCTAAAATATCAAGATACCTCCGGAAAGGTACTTGAGTTTCCCTTCCCAACTTTAATATGAAAGGAGTTGATTTGCCTATGGTTTGTGGATCCCTTAGGGAAGTCTGTCAAGCACCACATGTGTCAATTTGAAGCAGTCGACAGTACAGGCCTGCGCGGGTGTGGCAAGTCATCCTGCAATTCGGATGGCCCAACCTTTCCTTAAAATCGGAGACTTGGGAAGATTTGTTGCCCTCCCAAACGCTCTAATATAGAAATGATCCTGAAACACCAGAGAAGTAGATGGAAAGAAATTGCCCATGATGATCCCTTGACCCCATTGCATAAAAACATTCTTCTCTGTTGGATCTATTCAACCGTGTATATGGTCCCTTATTCCGGGTCTTCAATAGGCGAAGGGAAATTGGCTGCTTGAAACACCTCCCAACTGAAACTTGCCCAGAACAACATTTAACTAACCATGGTGATATAATGGGATATGATTCATGGATATTCATGGGATAACCAACACCATGTAGGGTTTTCCAAGGAAATCGGGATGTACAATAAACCCATATAAATCCCAAATGCCGTTTTGATAAGCAAAATGATGGTAACTTACTACTTTTCGTAGACAATGCTATATCACCGGCTTGGATTGCGGTCAGAACAAATTCCAGAAACTCCCAGCTTTCCATCACCAAAGGGCGCCTCGGGTCCAAAGGCAGCTTGCGCAGGCCGCTTCTGCAACTTGGCTGGTGTGGTCGAGGGCGCAGGCATGGAGTCCGCCATGACGCAACAAATCCGTGTGATCCAAATGATCCAAATGTTTGACCCAAAGTGATTTGAAAAGTGCCCCGTTTCAACCCCACAAAACCCACAACCACATCAGAAGAAGGACAAAGCCATTTATTTGGTTTCTGCTCAAGCAACTTGCTCTGCAGATTTTGAGGGAGGTCCAAGGTTTCAGTTTCGGTTTCGTATGCCGATCTGGTTGGTGTTTGTTTATCTGGTTGGTGGTTGAGCCACCTATCCCCAGGAAAAATGAAAGTCAATTAAGATCATCATCCCATGACAAGAAACAATATTTAGACCCTGCGTGATAGGAGGATTCGATTGGAGTTTTCACCCCTTTGTACCATACGCAGTGTGACCAGCTTGATTGATGTACATGACCTTAACTGGTGCAATACTTGAGCCATAATGGCTTAAAATGTCGAAGGCTGGGGTGGTCTCTTTGGATGAAGATGGGTCAACACTGAAAATGAATCACTTCTGGAAACCTGATTTTCTTGCCTTCAAACCTGAAATCGAAAAAATCGCTTCTCAGGGGAAAGAAACATAATATATATTATATATATATATATTTAATATGTATATTATATATATACATAATATATATGTATATAATATGTATATAGTATAATATTTAATATATATATATACACATAATATATAATATGTATATAATACAATATTTAATATATATATATACATCATATTTAATATTTAATATAATATGTATATATATATATATTGTTTTTGACCATAGAAACACCCATTCATCCAAGAATGGTGTTCCTGTTCCACCTCAAAGGCACGGTGAAGTCAGCGTCTGAGGGGACAACTTCCAGCCCTTCACTCTTGGACCTGACACAGCATTCTGTTCAAAACCTTGGTTGGTTGAAAATTATCTGGGATTGTACTAGCCAATATATGTGGGAAAAAAATGGTAAAAGCGGGATGCTGGGACATCCCAGCGTTCATTGTTGGTTGTTATGGTTTTTAGGTTTGTGTTCAATGTTTCTTCCTTATCTTTGATGTTTTATGTGGTGGGGGTTTTGGGACTATTTTGCCCCTAACTTTCACTTGATGGTTTGGTTTAAGATGAGGGGGACAATTGTTTAGACTGTTGGGGTTTTATGTGTGTGTTTGGGTGGGTGATTACTTCATAATATATTTTATTAAGATATTATGAATTAATCATCTGGTTTAATATCTCCACTTTTCATCACCACTACCTATTCCATCCCGACATTGAGAAACAATCGTTTTGATGTTGTAGAACACTAAAATGATTGTGTCTCTATCAAGTCTTCGTTGTTGAATTAAATGTTTCAATACTGTTAATAGTGTAGAATAGTTTTGTTGTAATGCTGTCATTCCTCCTCTGCTGTGTATCCTCTAACCGTGTTGTTTGATTAAATCTTTATCAAATATGTTTTCATAAATTTCTTTCATAAGGTCGTGGTTTATCTCTCCATACTCTGCGTATTGCTCTAAAGATTGTTCTTGCTTAAGTAGTAGGTCATATTCTATAAATTTATAATCAGGATAAGGATTTTCTTTTATGAAATTCGTTAATCTTTCTCTATCTCTTTTCAGTTCCTCTCCACTAACTCCAATCATTGGCATTTTTCACTTAATATATATAGGTAGTTTTTCTTTAAGTAATTTTGATGTCTTGTTCATTTATGCTTTCCACTTTCCTATTCCATCCCACCAGTGTTCAATTATCCTTACTTGACTTGTGATAGGTTTGTCTGTATCATTCAGTTCATCTATTGCTAATGCTAATAGAGTTTGATTTATTGCCATAGCATCCCATTTTCCATCACGGTTAAGTTCCTTACCACAATCAACGATGACCTTTTTGTCAGTGAGGTTTTCATACATCTTTTTCATAATGTCAAAATTTACAAACAAATATATTATCATAGCATTTATTCCTTGGTCGTTTTTCAATCTGTTAATTACTTTCTTCCAAAATTTGTCTCCTTCCTCATCATCTGGTGAAGGCATAGGATGACATCTTACAAAGTCTCTAACCTCTTCATTTTTTTTCCATCGCTTGTTTATAAAATTCTTCATCTTCACTTTCACTGCCAAAATCCACATAAAGACCCATATTTTCCCCTTCTAATTCCTGAATGTTTTTTGCTCTAAATACTTTACTCATTTTTCTCTTATTATATATAGTTATTTTTTCTTTAAGTAATTTTGGGGTCTCTTTCAGTTTTCGGGTTCAGGTTGTTTTTCTTCATTCTTTATCTCTTCTATCATCCTTCTAATTTTGGTTATACCGTGTTCTCTGTCAAACCCTTCCATTACATTTCTCACTTTTTCCAAACCGATGTATCTTTTAATCTCTTCGTCTGTCATTTGTCGGAATTGTTCTTTATATTCTTCATCATACTCGTCTTCCTCCTCATCCTCATTTTCCAAAAACATTTCCATTCTTTGCTTTTCCATCTCAATAAGTTTGTTTTCCATATATTGGAATTTCATTTGCTTCTTGTAGCACTTGCCACAAACATTCACGAAGGTTTTGAGCAAGTAGTTCCAATTAGGTTGGTTTCTATCGTTCAGGGTTATAACATCTGTCATTATACGACATGCACAGTCAAATTTTGTCATCTTATTTACTCTTACTATATATAGGTATATTTTTCTTTAAGTCTATTTTCTTATTGCTGATAATTTTAAAAATCTAATATTATAATATATGGCAAGGAGACTATCAAGAGATGACATCATAAGCAATGTCTATTACAATCTTGAAACGGGCTTCGGTTCAATCAATGAGACCCTCAAGAAAGCAAAGGAACAAGACCAGACCATCAACAGGGTGGATGTGGAAAACTTTATGAGGAAACAACCCAACAAACAGATTAGAAAATACAGGGGTTCAAACTCCTACACCGCTCCCTTCGCAAGGTTTGAGTATCAAATTGACATAATGGATATGAAACCCCTTACCAAAGAACCAGAGACGAAAATTCCCATCAAGAACGACGAACCGAGATATGGGTTGGTGGTCATTGACATCTTCAGCAAGTTGGCAAACTTCGTCCCTATGAAAGAAAAATCCGGACCAATCACATTGTCGGCGATGAAAGAGAGTTTTAACAAAATGGGTTTTCCGATGTCCGTTTATAGTGATAATGACCGCGCCTTCCAAGCAGGGGTTAAAGAATTTTTTGAGAAAGAAGGCATCACTCACGTCGTCACCCTAACTCACGCCAATGTTGTGGAGCGTTTCATAAGGACAATGAAGAATATGATACACGACAGGGTGAGGTTTAATCGTGGTAGTTGGACTGTTATGCTGTCCAAAGCGTTAGATAAATACAACGACACCGTCCATTCATCAACCAAAATGAAACCCAAGGATGCCCGCGACGACAAGAACCATATGGACGTCAGGGTGAATCTGACAAGGAGGGAAAAGAACACTCGCAAATATCCAGAGGTCAAAGTGAATGATATGGTCAAGGTCTTTGAGAAGAAAAAAGACAACTACACCGAGAGGAAGGAGTATAACTCAAAATGGAGCAATCAATCCTAAAAAATCGTCAAGATAGAATACGATGATGTCGGAAACAGAACCTTCAAACTGGAAGGATTGAACAAACCGTATTTGAGGCACGAGATTTTGAAAGTATAAAAAATTATCTATAATATTAATATATGACAGAGGTAGTCGTAAAAGAGATTGATAATGAAGAACACAAGGAAGAACCAATACCAGAACCAATACAGGAAGAAACACCGAAGGAAGAGGAGAAACCAGAAGAAATAATTGAAACACCAGTTCAAGAGAAACCGCAACCAGCAATGGTAGTCCCAAAACCCAAAAGGGTAAGACCGTCGAGGGCGAAACCACCTTTTGACCCAGAAGCATTCAAAAACGACCTTGTAAAACAAATAAAGGAAGAACTACAAAGTGCGATGTCCGCCAGAGACACCTACAACAAAGCCAAAGAGGAAAAGAACAAAGCGACGAGAGAGAAATTGAAATCTTTAGCATCAAAATTTTTATAAAGTATTAATATATAAAAATGAACATCAAGGAACAGAAAACAGAACTCAACAAAACAGACATCTACGAAAACGTCCGCAAGGACATCAACAGAAGACAAACCGTCCATTCAAACAAAAGTGCCAACTACAGGAGCGGAACGCCCGAAATGCCAGACAGAAGAAAAAAAGTGTATAGTAGTTATGACCACTACTACCACAACGACAGCAACACGGCAAGGATGCCAACTCACAACCATCATCTTTACCTAAAGCGTCTTCTTGAATATCACAACACCGAGCACGATTACAAGGTCTTACAAGTAAAGCAGAGGATGAAGGAAGAGAATGAGATGCTACAGAACGAAATGACAAGGTTGAGGGAGGTGAGGAAAAATCACAGATTGGAAGATTACGGGGCGAACGTCCAGAATATGAAACAGAGAATTGATGAATATAAGCGATGGTTAAGGAGCGGTGATGTGAGTGATTAACGAACATCCAAACAGTGGTTGAGAGGCGATACACAAGATTAATATAAAAATCTAAAGTATTAATATATAGCAATGACAGCAGAAGTAATCAACGCAAGACAGGGATTGACACGGATACCCACTTACGTAGAACTCATCAAGGAAATAGACAGGGAAAAGTTCAAAACCAATGACATCAGAAAAATCTTTGATAGGAACGCTTGGTATTTTCACGAAAGTCCGCAGGGTCAAGCACTGAACACAAACAACATCCACCCAGCAGACTTACAGCAAATGAACTTCAAAAAGATGGCAGAGGAAGCGACCGCAAGGAAGGAAGAAGAAACACCCAACCTTGACTTTGAAGATATGACCGACTTGAGGGACGACGCCATCAGCGACTAGATGTGTGTGTGTGTGTGTTTGTTATTCTATGCCATAGATCTTGCCTATCCACACAAAACTCACCCGTCCATGTGTAGCTCAGCCTCCCATGCATCGATGGTGCAGATCGCTCCAGTCGTTCTGGTCGTGCAGCAGCCAGGCTTCCAAGACTACCTTATCGAACGAAAATGGTGATCTTACCACCAAGAATGGTGACAAAAACCAGCAATGGTAATGTCACCACTCAAAATCATGGATTTTACCAGCAAAGATTGTGATTTCAATGGATTTTACCAGCAAAATGGTGACTTGGCTTGATTTTTTTGGGATTTCACCAGGAAAGATGCAGATTTCACCAGCCAAAGTTTGGAGCCAACCAACGAATCACAGGGAATTAACCAACAAAACTTGAATCGGCCACCAACAAATAGTGAAGTGACAAGAAAAGATGCTGAGTTGACCACCAAGAATGGCGGGATGTTACCCAGAATCAGAAATATGGCTCTATAAACATGGTATAACATGGTGATTCTTTAAATATCGCCAACTAGGATTGTCTGCCGATGAATTAGATCTGAAACAACCCCACAGCTGCAACTTGAGGGGTGAATATGATTTGAAATACGTTCTTTGCTGAAAAATCATTTGGGGATGGGTCAAAACCCCGGTACCTAGTGAACCCCAAAATAGCTGGTAAATGGATGTTCATCCCACTAAAAATGTATCTATAGGTATTGACCCATACCCATTTCAATCTACCGCTTCGTCCATAAATTTGGGAAGCCCTGGTTCTCAGATGCAGACCACGTTGAAACCTCCCTGGGAGCCCAGGCTGGCACGCGCTGTGCTCCCGGCGCTGCCCGCACTCCCTGCACTGCCCTGAAGCGGCATGGAAAAGCCATCTACACTGGGCCAAAAACTGAAAAAGGGAACAGAAAGAGTTGATGGCCTACAAATTAAACGCTGAAGTTGTTGCTTGATTTGTGTCTTCACCTGAATTCGGCCAAAAACATCAATAACCTCGGGTGATATGTTTTGAGGCGTGCAATGATGCACACTGCTTCCTAAGCTGGCTATTTCAGAACATGTTCGACTCAAATCTAGTGAATCTTGGTGTTTCATGCATGCCTTTTACCGTTTTACCCCATTTCTACCTGCCCATACCCCATCCTTGGGATGTGCCCCATTCGCACCAAAAAATTGCTGGGAATCCCTGGTTTCGCTGCGCTTCAACATGCAACGCGGGTGACCTCCCCACGCCACCTTGCTTCCCAGCAATCGTCGCGCCGCCGACGGCAGTGGAGGGCAGGTGGGCAGCGGAGGTCGGGCCGGGCGCCGCGTTGGACTCCTAAGGAATGGATTTTGGGTGATGGTACGGCACGGAATGATATACCCCAAGCATCAAGACCTTGCTGTTCAAGCCAAAACATGGAGATTTTGGATGGTTTTCCCGATTCAAGACAGAGACTGGGATAGACTGGGCTGTACTTATTCTGTGGAATCACAAGCAACTTGCGACTCTGATCTTGCAGAGATATGGATGACACAACTTGACATCAATGTGCGATTACTTTAGGGCCTTAGGGGTCCCACCAAACCGAGGAATCCCGTCCAAACCCGACGGGAAGATCATCCCGGTAGGAAAAACCGAATGACCAACAGTGGCTGCATAGCAAGAAAGGAAAGGGGAGTGAAGCAACAAAAATGCTACCAATAATATAATGTCACAAAAAAGACTATTAGTAAGGAATAGGTACTGTAATTGGTTGGTAGCTGGTGCCAATAGTTTCAACCAAGTTGTGGGATATATATCGCCTGCAGGAAGCCGGCACGTCCTAGCCAGCTGATTCAGTAGCATTCTTTGGGTGCCAGGTACCTGGAAACCAATCAACTTATATCAACTTTCTACATCCTGACTCCAATTGCTGAGTTCAAAACTTCGCCAACAAAGGCACCCCAAATGGCCATCCCAAAATCTTGCCCGTGCCCCAGCAGGCTCCACCCTGTCCTAGCTTTCGCCCTGGGGGGTGAAGTTGGGGTTGCTGCCTCAGTAGGCGATGGTCCGTCGCCCTGTGGACTGCTCCGAAGCCAGGACTTGAAACATGAAACGCAGAGTCTCAATATATCGCAAGAATTCTCGCACTACAGAATTACAGAATCATATTCTTTGTACATCTTGATCCATTTTTGTACATCGAGATTTTATGTAAGAGGCTTTTACCACGACATGACCGCTGCCTCAGCAGGTTTCTCTGCAGTGTTAGAGCTGCTGGACCTGGCAAAACACTTGAAAACCCAGGTGGGGACACCCAGGTTTCACCCAGTTGTAAACTTCCCCTGACATGTCTTCCGGCCAAGACACTCAAGGTACCCATTAAAATGGCAAAAGTATCAAATCTATGAGGTAAAACACCTTTTTTTATGGCTCGGAGTGTCGAGGTGATCCCTTTTTTGGGAGTACCATAGGGGGCCATGGGGGATCCAGCTATGATTTGAAAAGGGATGAAAAAGGTTTGTCCAAAACAGGAGCATATAACATGTATACCATCCTGTACCCCAATCTTTATGCTCCCCTGAACTAGGCCATCAGCTAACTTTCTCTCACCCATTTTTTTTCGGGGCACCCCGACCTACGAAGCAATCGCATGGCCATTGTTCGCAGGGCTGATGGTCTCCTTAGCGCGTAGAGGTCCAAAATCCCATTGCTCGCTGGGAGGTTCGAAAAAATCTGCACTTCAGAATCTGTGGCCGATATTTCGGATGATGCAAAAGTATCCCCCGACCTTCAGGTAATTTTCAAGTCATGTGACATCAATCTGTTTTTAGAAGCCCCAAAAAGCTCGCATCTGGGCTCCCCCCATTTTTGGAACTCCCCCACTGAGCCCCCGGCACAATGAGAGCAACTTTGGCTCAGGGATTCTGACCTAGACGTTGGGAGGACAACCTTTGGGTCAAACATGGCTGGCTTCATTGGATGTGAGAGATTTTCGGTCGGCATTTGGGTGGTAACCACACAGCCCCGCAGGAAATTGGAAGAAGTCGAGTTCTCCAGGAAATATATATATTATATATATGTGTGTGTGTTTGTTTGTTATATGAAGGTATATGTGCATACCCCAACCTGCAGGTGGATTTGCTGAAACAACAAATCGATTGAAGCTTGGGGAGGCCCAACATGGCAACCAAGTTCCCAACTCGGAGTCAGAATAAACAGCCCGGATGGGCAGCAGTTGGGCACTTTGGCGTCCAACTTGAACAAAGAACATGCCAGCACTGCGCTTTTGGGCACGTGTCCAAACCCAAGGACGATACGAAAGTTTGGAGTAACCACCATTGGTGGATTGCTGGATTGGTGGACAGTCCCAAAGAGACGGCAAGACAGGAATACCAAGAACAACTGGTCTGGAGGGGTAGAAACTAAACCCCTTCAGCTTCAGAATAACCACTTCGTATTGCGTCCGTTTATGTTGGGGTCCCATTCAGGGAGGGTGGTTGCTAGGGGGAATGGATTTTCCCATGTCCTTAGTCTGCGGCCTTGTCTGGGTTTACCATCGACATCAAGCCATCAAGCCATCAAGCCATCAACCCCAGAAAACGCCGAAGCCAGGTTTGGTGACCATCCCTAAACTAACAGACACATTATGACCCTGTATTGGTATGCCGCATATGCCCATGGAGGTTCATGACACCAGCAGAGCAGCCTTTTGACCGCTCTGGTCCGGGTCACACCCAGTGTCAGCGCGGTTGTTTAGGGGCAGCGCGAGCGTGACTTATGCCTGCAGTAAGGCTTCCAGGCTCGTCGTGTGATGAATGAAGTCTGAAGATTGGGAGATTGCCCTTACGGTGCAGTGAGGGGAAATTCCAAACAAGACCGAAAGTGGCAGTACCAAACCTACGGGCGACGCAAATGTAAGGCTTTTGTACAGTGAGGGATTGTCCAAGTATCCACCCAAAAGATGTCGTCGTATGTCATCAACAATGGCACAAGTCCACCCTTTCGGCAACCTGACTAAAAGATCAATTCAGTCAGACAGTGGCTAGAACAAAACAAGTGCCTTGCATTGGTGGTTCGGAATGCTGGGAACTAGGTCTTCAAAGAGATTCCCGAAAGTTGTTGCAGCAGGTTAGATTCCTTTTCCCCTCACAAGTTTCAGTTTTTCTTCTAGAAAACAATGAGGATTCTGTATCACAATGGGGGAACCCGATGATCTGAAGACGCCAAGTTGAGCCTAATCCTGGATGTGGATCCAAGTTTCAATATAAGATTCACTATTTTGGACAAGGATAGATTCAGAGTTTTTTCACATTCCTGGGTCATTTTTTGTTGGACCGTTCCAGAGGATCCAGTTCCGCCTCAAGCATGGCCTTGGCTTGGGTCAGGGATTCCATTTCATCCGAGCGAGCCGATTGCCTTTGCCAAGTCGCTGTGCTGATCCCCAGCAACGCATGGGTGCTCGGCTGCATCTGAAAATGCTTAGTACACCCCCAGTTATAGCTATTCCAATGAGAAAAATGACAATGAACCCCATGGATTTAGGGGTGCGTTCCCCTAAACTTTCAGACAAACCCATATTGACGGTATGGAATCTGGTGAACCCAGCAGCATGAACTCAATGCCTGGAGATTGTTATCATCTTCACGGGATGAAGTTCTTGACTGCCGCGCCTCTCATCGAAGCGCTTCATGAGAATGTCGCATTGATCCTTGAGGCTTTAAGAAAGACTGGTATCGTGGAGAACCGGTTGACCGTCAATTGTTTTTCTAGGTGCTTCAGGTCAATATATGGTGGCCCGCAGCACCATTTCCTGTCTGTAAGGGACATCAAGGGATTTTGGACTAGCCATTCTTCCGAAATCACCTCTCACCAACTCGGAATCCCGTGTTTTCTCAGCATTTTTCAAGACATCAACACACCAGCCACCCGCCAATGCTGTGCCCTTAATCGCCCAGTGGCGTGCAGATGTCGCTTCAGCGTCACCAGTTCATCCAACTTGGTGCCCAAAGCATCCTTGGCCTGACGTGCCTGAGAACGGCTGCTCAAGGATCTGTTGGTGGGAGGAAGGTGGAAAATCGTTCATACCCAATGGGTGGTAGGTGTGGAAACCGCAAACGCGTCTTGGTGTAGCCAACCCTGTGTACCTTTTAACTTGTTTTCCGAATGGTGTTCTAAAAATCTATCCGCCACCAAACATATATATATATGTGTGTATATTACATAGCTACAGGTAGAGAAGAAGTCCGCATTGTAGCTAACACAATTCTCAGCTTTCTCGGCACTCAGTTGGTCAACTGGGCACGGCTCAAGTTCTCCCAGCTCTGGTGCCTCCACCAAAGAAGACTCGGCAGCGCCCTTCTCCTTTTCCTTGGTGGTCCTCTCCTTCAGCTTGGTCTTGATGGCTGCCTGGTCACCACTTCATGGTGCTGGCACTTTTTCCGGAACCGTAAAATTTTCAGAACATGTTTGAACTTAAAACAAGAAATTCAACAAGTTCAAGAAACGTTCCCATAGCTCTCCATAGCCCCAGAGCTTCCAACATCTTCCAACTTCATCGCCCGAGCCAATTCAGCCGAGCTTCGGTGGTCGTCTTGGCAAAGGCCTTACAGCCGGAGTCCACACAGGTATCAAATCCCCAGTTGTTTGTTGGTGTATCTGCCCCTCAATTTGTTGCACCAACATCTCGATTCTTCGTGGTGACATTCCAATGTTTGGGAGGTTGAATCCTCGGTTTTTGAGTCAAATCCCCTATTTTTGGCAGGTTGTTTCCTCGATTTTGGCTGGTGAAATTGCCATTTTTCCTGGTGATTGCCTTCATTTTTGCCGGTGATGAAGATTCTCTTTTTGCTGGTAAACTCCAATTTATTGCTTGGCTATAAATCCTGATTTTTTGGGCACCTTCCCCACACTCTTCCAGTGCCTCATAGTCCTTCTGGGCCGACGTCTCCGCGTGGGTGGCCTACAGTTCAAGCAGTTTTTCCTATAGATTTCCTCTTAGGGAAGAATACCCCGCCACAGTTCACCACAATGGTTTATTTATCTTTACAACTTTCAAGCTAGGATCGTGCGTGAATATGTCTATTTTGTCCCCCAACTCTGGCCATGTGTTTTCGATTAGATGCTGTAACCCATAGCGGTTTTCCAGGATCATTTCCAGGAAACTCCAATATGTCAATGTCATTGAATCAGTTTAAGGGACATTTCACAGGAAACGCACCGATCTGTTTCCTGTAGATCCCCTGAACCAATCCACCAAAAACGTCCCCGCGTTTTACGGTTCGGTTCCGCCTCTGCTTCCATGGCTTTGGCGTCAGCGATGAGTTTCTGAAGCATGCTGAGGACCTGAGCTGGGTGGTTTGAAGCACCTGAAAAAATGCAACAGATCTAGTAGGTCTAGTAGGAATGATCCTATGAGGGAAAAATGTCATCTGGAACCACCAGAAACAGCGGATTCTTGGGGGTCAAATTCGACAGGAAACATGAAAACATCCAACTGTTTTGATTTCTGGTACAATCCCAGCCAAGTGTTTTTGATGTGAGCTTTGGGTAAGTCACTCTACCCCCACATGAGATGATTCAGGTACTAAGAATGACCCACAAATGAAGCTTGCAAGGCCTCAAATGCTTGGCCCATAGCAATGTGGGGATGCTGCATCGATGCCCCAGTGATTTCCCGTACATTTTGGAGCCGTTTCAACCTTGATCAACTGGCTATGTTATTGGGTGATGATTGCAAGTGTGCTACAAAAAGCTCAAAAAATGTAAATCAATCGAAGGACTCTATTTACATTAACAAATTTCACCAACAGCTTTCGGCAGCAGAACATACAAGAGGTCAAAAGTAGTAGCTATAGTACGCGGATTGTAAGGTCCACACACCGAAGCTGGATTGCTCTTTGTAGTCCTTGCACCGGTTGGATATCCAACACAGCTGCCAGCCACAGTCAGCAACGGACAAAAAACTGGTCAAAACAGTCAAACTACTGGATATATATATAAGTTGCAAATGATGGGGTGGAATAGCCAACAAATGAATACAGATGACTGATAACTTTGAGACTTTGGGTCAAAACCTATGATACGATCTTGTAAAAACCAGGGTACCAGGGTCAATTGATCCATAGCCATATCATCACACTGAGAGTAGATAGAATATCCGACCAGGTGATCTTTTACATGTGTTCTTCCCATTTCGGACAGTTTTTCTTGTTGATTTCATGATGTATTTCTTTAGGCCCACGATCTTTGTCTCGATCCTTGAACTCGGGCTCACCATCGTCGCTCTTGGCTTGAATGAAGGCAGCCTGAAACTCTGGTGCGATTTTTTGGAGAGAGACTCCAAGCTTGTTTGTATATCATGATATCATCAATCAATAAAAACAAACGAAAAAAAAAAATCACCAATCGAAAAATGTTTGCCAACAAGACATTGGAGTTTGGTCATTAAGAAAAAGTGGTTTCATCGACAAGAAGGGGAGATCTACAATAGTCAACAAAACGGGGTAAGGCCAAGCCTGTGCTCATTACCCCAAGAGGTGATCATTGCCCTCGCGATTTTTCAAATCCCCCATGTACAGATGACTTGATCTGTTCAAAATCATGAAGTCTGACTGCCGGCAGTCAGATTTCTGGAGGGTACCCTCTGGTAAATTAACATAGACCCTGGCAGATAGGGGTTGGAAGACTAGTTTCCATTAAAAATTGGTGATTTTCAGGGTCTATGTTTATTTAACAGAGGCCAATGGAAAAATGAATAACCCAAGACAATCAAGGAGCCCCGCAAAGTGATAGATAGTGATTGTTTTTTTTCGTTGGATAAACATGGAAATATCAAAGGGCACAACAAATCCCGCTGAGCTTTTGGTGGATGATATCCACATTGACTTTTGGCATATTCCCATGAGTATCCCACTGTGGGTAACTCGATCCACCTTAGTGTTGCTCTTCAATGTGTATTTTTGTAAAATCCCAGTCTCTGCTGGTTCTACGGTAACTTCCACAAACCCATACTGTTTAACTTGCAGCTTGAACAGCAAGAAAACTAAGTGTTTGCTTAAAGACCCTCACCACCAATCAATCCCCATTTCTGTTGGTCAAATTCTGATCTTTGCTGGTCCCATGTCCTGTCTTGTTTAGAAAAAAAACTCCAGTGGCCCAGCTGCCTCATTCTCTTTGACATAGAACTTCTTCAACGAAGTCATGGCTTTCTGCAACAGCAGCTGAGTCTGACGTTGCTCCGTGACCACCGTCTGGAACTCCTAGCTATGAAGGCTTGGTGAAGGGGTGGCAGCAGTGGGTTTTACCAGCTATGGGCAATGAGTCATGAGGTTAGTTCTTATAATACTTGCCAATAATTCGTTAATAATGATTACCACTCAATAATGTATTAGTGCAGCAAACCCAATGCCATAAACCTACCACGTTTTTTTCCGCCCTCAGCATCATGAGACTCCCACGGTTCGCAGCGGGCTGTCCTTGTTTTCTTTCTCTCGATTCTGGCCAGCCAGTTGTGTCTGCTTGTTCATTTCCGCCACCTGCCGGGGCCACCCAATCCCAAGCTGACGAAAAGGTCAGACGTCGAAAGGAGTCGAAAAAGGAGACCGGCGGAAGTGGCTTAAACCCGTTTGACGTTTGATACTTGTTTTGTCTATTGGGGATCTTCTTCCCAAACCATGGTTGAGAAGTTACTAAATATTTGAAACTAGCAACAAGAAGATGGCCCAAGAAATGATATCTGCAATGTATGTGTTGCAAAAACACTGCAGCTGAGTTTACAACATGAGATGACCCAAAACAAAAACGTATGCCATGGTTAAAAGATGATGTATTGGTCTGTGGTCGTCCCACCCTCATGGATAACCCCCCATGAGAAAACAACCCCGAACTCATGTCTACATGATCCAACTTTTGACCCTGGGACATATATCCCACTATGTATGTATGTGTATATATATAATATATAATATATAATATATAATATATTATATAATATATATAATATAATATATAATATAATATATATATATTATATATAATATATATATTATATATATATAATCTCACACAATATCCCCAATGATATCCCATGAATTCACCCTTTGTTCTTCACCTATTTATCCCCAGACATCAAAAATGCATCGCTGGCCTCATCCTCCAGAGACCTCGGGCGGGTGTGGCTTGAAACCCTCAAGGCTTCACTGGCAAAACATGGTGATTTCACCAGCAAAACACTGGGATTTGACCCAAAAAACTCTTGGGGGTTAATAAGTGAAGATCTCAGCTCCTTTCTGCTTACGACTTTTGTTGTCTAAATCCCATCTTGGAATCTCCCAAGCCTCCTACCGTTCTTCCTGGCCATCAACTCAGTTTGAATATGTTTGAATCCTTCATCTCCAGACCCATTCACCGCGCCACTTCGACCTGTATCTTCATGATAGCTCCCCTGAAAACCCCAATGATGGTTGATTGTAACCTTTGGGAGCTAGGGGTGTCTAATCCCATTGATGGATTTTATCCAAAAGCTGGATGGTTGAACACGGACCAATGATGGGTTATTATCTAGGTCCGTGTTCAACCTTTGGGATTATAATCCTTAGTGTCTATTCATTTTACGATATTCCCAAACATAGATCCAGTATGATCCAGTTATATCCCCAAAACATCCCGTATTTCGTTCGTTGATTCTCCCAGCTAGAAACCTCCATCGACATCCCAGCCATGGAGCTGGCGACACCCAAGGGTAAACTATTTTTTCATACCATGAAAACCCTCCCATCTTGGCTAGTTAAATTCCATTCAACCCCAAGTTTTGAGCTTCAAATCCCCATTAAATCCCAAGTGTTTCTTAGTTAAATTCCATTCAACCCCAAGTTTTGTGACTGAACTCCCCCTGAAATCCCCATCTTCCGGGCTGAAAACCCATCCAGGACCAGGCACTGAATCTCGGCCACCAGCTGCGAGGTCTTGCTTTGGATCGTCTCCAGCTCGGCCACCTTCTGCTGCTCCGTGAGGCTCTTCTCCTGGGAGAAAAAATGGACCCTGGGATTTAGGGGGACTGAATGGAGATAAAATAGATAGGATAGGATAGGATTAGGATTAGAGAGGATTAGAGAGGATTAGATAGGATTAGATAGGATTAGATAGGATTAAATAGGATTAGATAAGATTAGATAAGATTAGATAAGATTAGATAAGATTAGATAAGATTAGATAGATAGATAGATAGATTGATAGATTGATAGATTGATAGATTGATAGATAGATAGATAGATAGAATAGATAGAATAGAATAGAATAGAATAGAATAGAATAGAATAGAATTAGAATTAGAATTAGAATTAGAATTAAATAGAATAGAATAGAATGGAATAGAATAGAATGGAATAGAAAGATAGATAGATAGATAGATAGATAGATTTAGATATACATAAAATGATATAAATGGATATATTGGGATATATAACCTACTTTTGACTTTGGAACCCCAAAATGGCAATATCCGAGTGCGGAAAATTATTTGACCCCAGGAGGCTCCATGATCCTGAGTCTCCAGTTTGGTCTTCTGCAACTCCGCGACACACCAATCCTAGAGCGAGGTTCTGACAGTTGACTGGGGCTGATAGCTTGGGATCATCATGACACGTACTTCAAGACTATACTCCGTCTCGCTCTCTCAGAAATCATGGCCTTGGCTTGTTGCTTTTCAAGCAGTACAATCCATTCACAAGCTGTTTCCAACCATATCACAAGATGTTGATCACAAGATCATTCTGTTTTTGGGTGTGCCATGGCCGCTTTTTGTGTTTGTACTACAATTTAAGTTGGTCACAGCCACATCTTTCCATCCCATTCCTTGTTTCATTGCTTGCATCCGCATCTTTGCTCGCAAAGTCCTCTTTCTTGTTCAACAAAATTCATCATTTCCGGCGAAATCTTCAGGTTTTTTCAGGTTTTATGGTGAAAAATGTTCAGGCGCCTTCTTTTTGACCTCTGCCGCCTGCTGCTTTTTGAGGTCAGCCTAAAGCAGCAGATGGGTGCTTCAAAGGACTGGCAACTGTCGTCGCCTTTCGCCTAGCATCATGACCATCCAAGTTTATCCAAGTTTTGGATCCGAAATTTTGAGCCCTACCCCATTTTCCATCCATTTTATCGCATCCTCTTCCCCACCAAACCATCCCAGCAAAGCCTTCATTTCATCAATGGCCTTCTTGACACTCTCGAAGGTGTCCAACTTCCTAGCCCAGTTGTCAGTTGGAACCCCAAACTCTATGAATTCCTATGAATTCCATTTCCAAATTCCTATGACTTCCTGCAAAGCTTGGATCACCCCATTGCTGCCATTGCTCTCCATCTCATTTTGTTCCACACTCCATGACTTTTGATTTCTGCAGCTGCAAGTCCCCAAAAAAACGGGATACCGTCCTCTACCGCCCTACCCTCTGGGATTCCATCTGGGATTCCCCACACGCTCATAGCCAATGTGGTCAAGGCGCTCGCCTCGTGCTGTTTCAAGAAGCTATTCGAAGGATGAGATGAACGGCGGCACATCAATCTGTACCCTTCGGTTCAAGCCTGGTATGGATTCCATTGGATTCCATTGGATTCCATTGGACTCGTGGACTACGGTCCAATCCCCATTGAACTAGAAAGTATGGGCAGAACCTTAAGTTGAACTCCTGGATCCCATAGCAGCCATAGCATCCCCATCTTTGCCAGTGAAAAAATCCCCAGATTGTGATCCCAAAACCATCACCATGATCATGGCCATCTGAAGGTCCCGGCGTCCAATTTCTCTCCACTGGCAGCCAGCACAGCTGCAGCACGTGTTTGGCGGCTGTCCTGAGAAGACACCTGCGAATCTGGAATTCCCAGTGACTGGCGACCACGGATGAACCCTTCAAGAGCGACCACAAAACAAGGGGGATAGACAGCTGGCTATTCTTTTTGGAGCCCTTCAACATGTCACCATCCACGTAAGCACGCCAACCCTGTCAATGGAACCAAGAATATTATTTTCCTATGCAGTAGGCGACTCACTTGCGAAGAGCAAAACACCCATTGCCCTCTAACAATAATATCGATCGAAGAAACAACTTGTGGGCCACATTCAAGGAAACAACTTGCGGGCCACATTTTCCCTGCACCATATCAGGAAGGAACATTAAGGGGAAGGAAAAACTCTTCAAAATCAACACGAAGTGTGGGCAAGACGGACCCCGGCCGCTCAGCTGTTTTCACAAAAGACAGCTACGGTGGACCTACTGCACGGCTTAGCTACGTCTAGCTACAGAAGCAATGGTGGGTCATATACCCTCTAGTAATCAAATATGGCAATTAAAAATATCCGTCAAGTTTCACCAGGAAAATCCTCGGAAAAACTCCATCATCAGATCACCAGAGGACCTGCAGGAAGGAGCTGCTAAAGGTTTTGCCGAAGTTCTCGCGTGCCTGATGCTGGCTGATGGCTTTCCGGAAGATAGATCTACCATGTTGTGCAAAAATGTTGGTTTCGTTCGAAGAATTGGGATTTAACTGCGTTACCAGCATTAAAGAGGATTAATGGTTGAAAAATATCTTCCACTCAAAAACTAGAAAAATGTCATCCCTGTTTTCACCGGGGTATCTTTGGTGAGAGGAAAACTGCCACTGCCAACTGCCGGAATCTGCTGCCACCACCATCATCGTTATCATCGCTACGAGGATAGACATACCAATAATGAATAACAAGAAGCCATTATGAGTAATAATGACGAACGATGATAATAGTAGCAAAAATACTCATAACCATAAGAACAACAAATAATAAGATCTCTCAACATAGTGATGATTATTGTTAGTATATACATGTATATTCCATTATCGTAAAAAATGGTGTCACCATGACTACAACGATTGTTGCTAGTACCATAGTTACTACTACTTTTGTCTTTACTGTTACAATCATGATAGCATTTTTTTTGTTGGTAGAAATTTTAGTGATGATACTAGTAAGAATAACATAGAATAACTATTGCTAGCATGATTACAATATGATACAATATGTAATGATTTAGGATTTTTAGTAGGAAACCCTTCAGCATTTGAAAAACGAAAAACCGCCTCGTCGGCAGTCAACACCTGAATGGTCTGGCTGACTGCAGCTTGCTCCTCCCGGCGCAGCTTGCCTGGGCAGGGCAAGCTGAATGATCTGAAAATGTGGATTTAACCATCAAATATGCGGATTTAAGCATGCAAAAATGGAGTTAAATTGGATCTATATATAACCATGAACAAATCGGGATTTAACTACAGAAAAATGGGTTCAACAATCGGAAATGGTGGTTTGAACCAGCCCAAATGGGCATGAACCAGCAGAAATTGGTACGAAACTGCTCAAATGTGAGTTTGACCAACAAAAACAGCAACGATTGAGGGTTGAAGCAACAAACAAATCATGTAGAAGTTTGGTATTTCCTGCAGATTTCCAAGGGTTTGACCCACTTGGGTATGGAACACTGAGGGGGGAACAAAAACCAAGGGGCATAAATGAGGCCACCAGCGAAGTGGGTATGCAACCACAAGAAATCGGGAGTTTCACGAGCCAAAAACATGGGGGGAAGATCGTCTGCCGACGATCTTCCCCCCATTTTTTTGGCTCGTGAAACTTTTGACCCAGGGTCTTGTCATTTTTTGGTAGCAAGGCACCTCGCTTCTCGTAATCGGTGTCCATGGCCGCACATTTCGCCTGCACTGTAAAAGACGGACGGGCTTGGGAGGTTGACATCTTGGAAACTTTGGTGGATCATGATTATTATCGCATTATCCGTATCTTTCTTGGTTGAAACCCCAAGTTCTCTGGCTTGCAACCTGGCTATCCGATTTATCCCCAGTTTGTTCTGCTCTTTTGCCCCAGCTACCCATCCTCCTGGGGTCGCAGGCCTTGACCTCTTCACTCACAGCACTGTCTGCTTCCAGGGCTGCGGTCGTATCTTTCATGTCCTGTGACATTCCCATGGATGTTTTCCCTCCAAGTGGAAAACTGAAATGGAAAATAATGATAGACTCATAGACTATGAGATTTTAGGGGTTTTTGACTGTTGTTGGCCGGATAGAGATGAACCCATATGTAGCAAGACCCGAAGATATGGACGTTGGAAGCCTGGAATTATCTGGGAAATAACATATGCAACATCCTAGAAACAACTGTTCTATCTGCAGGTGCCAACAAGAAAATCAGATATTGAAGGGCAATTGTCCATTGACATGTTAGATTACCGGAAGGAATGCGCAAAACTGGGATAACCCCTGAAGCTATGCAGAGGTTCTTAAACCGGTCAGTTTGGGGATCATGCCAGATGCAAAAGTCGTGGCAGATTAATGTTCCAGTTCTGGCAGAGTCCGTTGAACTGGTCAATTCCGGCGCACACTTGGGGTTAAAAGTGGATATGTATATACATAGCTGACATAGCGTGTATATATATATATACTTATACGCTTTGTGTACCCATAATTCTAGGAGTTATATCATATCATATCACAACTTCTGGATCTTATCACCATAGTTATACCCATCTTTTTCCACCCCAGTCCTGCACCCCCAGTCCTACGCCCTGATTTCCCAGCTCTCCACCTGCTTGCTCTGCGACTTCTCCAAGTCTGCTGCGGCTTTTTGCTCTTTTTTGGCCTGACAACACACAGGAATGGAAGTATCAAGGAAGTACCGGGAAAAATGGTGATAAACCGAGAGATTTTGGGGGGTTCCAAATTTGGAAACGCTTTTTCGGCGCCCAAACTCGGCGCAGGTCGGATGGCAAAGGGATTGATGGCAGGTCGGTCGCTTCCTCCAGTTCCCTACAAACTCGGCCTCCAACTGCTTCTTGTCAGCTTGGAGCTCCTCAGTTTTGGCCTTCACCAAGCCTTCATGCGCCTGGCTCCAAGCTCCCCAAGCGGTGTTTACAAAGAATTCCATGCTGTTTGCCATGTCTTGTCCGTCTTCAATCCACCGGTTTGGCTAGCAATATCCAAGAATTGTTGGTTTTGTATGGTTTTCTTAAATTTGTCTGGTCAGTTTTGTATGTTTTGTGGATCTTGTTGGTCTTGTTGGCTTGATTTCACTTGTTGGGGGAGCCAAAAAGCCGCAGCTTTGCACAGGCAGCACCTTCTTGTCCTCGCTTTCCTGCTTTTTCAGGTCCGACAGCTGCCCCTCGAAGCTGTCCTGTCGACTCAAGGGTTGATCTCAGCTCGCCTCAACCGAGAAAATTGATACAATGGATTGACGTAGGTGAAAAGTTGCATAAATCAATGGTCAACCTGGAATCTGTTCCCGGAAAAACTATACATATAACATGTCATATATATATATGTATATGTATATGTATGTATATATGTGTAAATATATATATATATTTAAACACCCCTTTGATCCAAGTCCCTTGGATGCTCCCCAAATCCAGCGGCATCCTTGAGACCAGTGAGCACTCCAGCAACTCCATCAATGGAACTGGGCGCCTGCTGTAAGAACTCGGACTCTGACCTGCCCAGAGTCGATCCCTCTGGATCCCACTGCATCCCATTGGTCACCCTGCAGATCCCAAAAATGAGCCAAAGACCCTCCGGGAATTTTCCCATTAAAACCTCCATTTACAGAGGATTTTCAGCCATGTTTGATTCCCGGAGGGTAATCAAAGCAGTCGAGATCTTCACCTACCCATTTTCGGGGCAGGGTTTGGACACCCAGATCATCTCAGAAACCAAACCATAGGCTCAATGGGTTGATACCTGAAGTAGAGTTCTGAAGCCGATCAGATCACAGTGTGGGTCTGTTGGGTATCTTGTTGACCATTTTGGTGGAAACAAGTAATCAATCACCAAACAAGGGAAAAGACCAGCGTCATTTCTGGTGGCTCGGGTCATCAAAACCACCATCGTCACCGGCCTGGGATTCAACAGTTCCTCCACCTGCGAGTTGGGGTTGCCAGGGGGCACCTGCCTGTGGCTGGTTTTTCTTCGCCCAAACCATGGCTGCTCACCATACCACTGGTCCTACTTTAGAGAGGCGCGAAAGGAGTCATTGCGCAAAATAATAACTAGAGGTGTCCTATCCGTTGTCCTATCCGTAGCCCATGGTTTCAGATCCTATAGACGATCAGTGGCGGGTTATCGGCATCCCAATGACTTGATATCTATATATATATATATGTATGTACACAGATACATTGATGGATAGTGTATGTACGGACGTACGTATGTATGCATTCACTGGTTACGGAGTATGATACATGCACGAATACCCTCTGGTAAACTAACATAGCAATGGAAAATCACTATTTTTAATGGGTAAATCCACTATAAATGGCCATTTTCAATAGCTATGTTAGTTTACCAGAGGGTAAACCAAACGATGCCAAAACACATGTGATTCCTACGGTTCCTACATATCTACGGGCTCCAATTTTCGGCTCGCCTCGCTGCGTTGCGCGTCGTTCAGCAGCCGTTCCTGTGGCATTGGTTTTGGTGATCGATAGACATAGAAATACTTAATGACTTCATGTCAGATGTTGAATATTTCGATATAGACATATCTATAAACTAGATATGTGCAAAGGATGGGAACAATTATTGAATATTGAATAGTGGAAAAGTGTCATGCTTTACCACAGAAAGTTACCCGAATGGTTGTTTCCCAGGACCTGAAAACTGTTAATGATCTGTGCTGGTGAAGTCAAATCGCTACGAAAAACTCCGCCATCTCAAGAATAAGCACTGCATGCATACAGACCGTCGAAAAAGGTAGATGGTTGCTGGCCGGCTGTGCCACTCTACGTGACGACTTTGGTTGTTCGCATACTTCTGCTGACTTATTGGGTATTTTGTCCATGCTCACGGCTCAAATCAATGTAAATTAATGCGCCTTTCCCTGCTATCAAAGTCGCCCATCATTTGGGGATCGAAACTGGTGCTTGGATGTTCATTCCCCATATATAGTACAATAGGTCTAGTCTTGACTCATCCATAGGTTTTGTATATAAATGACTAGCATAAATGAATAGTGCTCATATCCCCACCTGCTAGTTGCAATTATACATATATACATATATATATATATAATACATATATAATAATATTATAATATATATATATATATTGACATATAATATGTATATATATATATATTATATATATATATGTATAATATATATATTACCAGTTTACCCATGATTTCTTCCGAGGCGCATGTCTCAGCAAAACCATCTTCAGCTGAGTCATGGCACTAGCCATCCGTCCCTGGCCCAAAGGAGGTCCAAGAGGCCATGGCCATCCATGGCCCATTTCAAAAAAGCGAAAAAGCGATGATTTTCCTTTGAAAAATGAGTGGTGTTCCATAGCAAACTCCTAAAATTGTGAAAAAAAAACAAAGCGTAGCCACTTAGACTGCAGCTTCTATCTTAGAGATGCACAGGCGTTCAACCGCATGATTGTTGACTTAAATGTTCCATTTGTGATGGTTAACAACCCCATGGATTGTGGTTGAGTGGGTGCTTGTTCTCGAGGATGGCGCAGCAAATGTTCAGTGCTTGGATGATGAAGCGTTTTCACTCTTCAACCGCAGTTGTTGGTGGAACCCTTACAATGGGTTTCCAATACCATCTACTAACCCTGGTGGGCCCAGTGTTTGGCCACAAACCCCCCAGGTCCCCACCAGGTCCCCAAGTCCCCTAGCCCTGGAGGTCTGCAGAAAGGACGATTTATTGGTGCCTCAGATGGCACGAAAATCCTCTATGGAACATCTGCTGACCCCTTTATTGAACCAGTCCAGCAATGGTTTGTGAGTGCGTTCATGCAAATGGTGCAACATGCTGAGTTGCAACGGAATCAGAAGCCTTTCTGCTCCGAACAAAATATGGAACTTTGACTGGTCAGAAATGGTCCGAAGCTAACCCCCCAACCCCCAATTCCATCAGATTATCATCATGATCCCCATTAAAATTGCCATGTTCCCAGCAAAATTCCCTGCCACCACCCCATCCCTTGGAGCACCACACCGATGGCGTCCAGCGCCTTGTCCACTGAAGTGGCGGACTCTGTGAGATCCTGGGGATGCTGGAAAAAACCAACCAGAAAGGGGAATATGATGGGGATGTTATGTTTAATCAGCAAACATATCAAAAATTGTGATTCAATGGGATTTTTCATGGGATATTTTTTTGGGATTTAACCAGCAAAAATAGTGATTGAATGAGATTTTTCCTGATCTGAAAAGGGGATATCATGGGATCAATTGTAATATTTGGGAAAATTGCGCTTGGGGAGAAAGGAATTCTGCCTGATTTCAAAAAAAGCGACTCATTTTCAAAAAACTCACTTGGAGGGAAGGCGTAAAGAACTCTACAAGCTGACATGGCCACCCCAATGCCATAGTCCCTGGTGCAGTCACATCCTCCCCAAAAACATGACATTGAGCAACCCCTGAAACATGCAGATATATTGTGATCAAACCTAGCTATATAATTTGCCAGGACCTTTTAAAAAGGTCTGTTGAAAATGCCGACCACAACACCCAGTCAACCCCAGGGCTCCTTGAAATCACTCTTAAACTCAGTGAACTGCTTTTCGCGCAAGGCTTGGGCGGACTGCAAGGCCTTCTCATTGTTGGACACTTCTTCCTCCAATGGCAACCGAATGGGGATAGCACGGGACCCATGGGCGGTGATAGGTTGATCTGAGACCATCCTAGTGCCTTGGAGTCCCAGGAATAGGACGTCCGAGAGGAAACCGACTTTTGGTACCAGGATACCCCACCAAAACGATACGTTCATCTTTAGTAAAGCAGGAAAGCATGTTCTAGCTTTTAAAATTTGTATTTTTTCTTCCAGAGCCGATGTTCACGTGATATTTTTGCCAAAGCCTAGACAACAAATCAGGAGATTTCCCCAAGCACCATGTTTGCATGAATAGGTAGAAGTCATTGGGTTTTGATTTTTGACATTTGTGTGTCAAATTGCAATTTCTCTCTCAAAATCAGAATCTGGCAAATTCCCTGGAATTCCCTAAATTTGTAAAGTTTTAGTACCTTACACTTTAAAGCATTTTAAAATTCGCGTTCACCTCGGCCACCGCAATCTCCGTGGCCAGGCGAGAGCTGGTCGCTGTCAGCTCATCCATTCGAGCTTCAAGGGCCTGGTGATCAACAAAACTATCCCCCTATGACTCAACCATACTAAAACCATACTAAAACCATACACATCATATGGCAGTGTGTCAAAACCCAAGGTACCCCTTCTGTTCACATCAAAATAGCTGGGATTTATGGATGTTCATCCCCCTAAAAATGGTATTTTCATAGGTATTGATCCATACCCATATTAGTTGCTGGTTTCACCTCCCAAAACTGGATCATAATCCCGGTCAGAGTGACAGATCTGTGAAATCGCGGCTTCAGTGAAACTTGGCGGCCCTGAAGAACAGTGATTTCTCCATCAATGGTGGACATAAGTTCTCTTTCTTGAAGTTGATGAATTTTGTTTGCAAATGAGTTGGAACCCCAATATCTCCCAGCTTTCCTGGTCCATGTCCAAAATCGAGAAGCACATTAAATATGTTGGTGGAATCAGACTTCAATGAGCTTGGACAAAATCCGTGAAAGGTTTTGCATGCTGGCAGACACCTACACCAAACTATAGTTGTTGCACACCAAAATACAGCTTGGTATACCCGAACATTACAAAAATTCAAACAGCTGCAGTAGGGTTTTCTGTGATATTTTTGGTGGGATGGTTGGTGCAAAAAAAAAATAAGGATCTATATATATAGAATGACATCCCAAGACTCCCCACTGTTTTCTTGCGAAGCCTGCCTATGTCTTGCATATCACCAGACACATGAGATTCAACTCCCCCCCGCTCTAGTGCCTTGATCTTGGTCTGGGCCTCTTCTATGCTCTTGGTTTTTTCGTCTCCGTTGGTTTTGCACCAACATTGCATCTTGTCATGGGTGTCCTGAACCAAATAATCCCTTCCCCCTAGTATGGAAAACCACCTAGAAACTCTGGTCCAGTACTGGCATTATTCATATTGGGGGGCTATGTGGGTGAGGGGGAAGGGATCGCAGAATGAATTGCATCCGGAACGGCAAAGAATCTGATCTCACGAGAATGTTACAGTTGCGAAAATACTTGATATGATCCAATGCATTTCTTCCATCTCCCTAGTGATGCACCGTTCATGTCTTGCCTTGTTTGATGGGAAACTGCCAATGTACCCAGATACCAACCCCTTTTCCGCAAACTTCGCACCTCATCCTCTTTAGCTTCCTTTTCCAAATTGGATTGCATACCCTGTGCTGAAGCGCTGAAGCTGGGGCCGTCCAGATTGGCAGATTTAAAGGAAAAAACAGGCCCCTTAGAAACTGCAGGGCACGCCAAGCCGACCAAAAAGTGTTTCCCATCGTGGCTTCGTGGTTTCGTGGCCCGCAACGCCGCCTCTAAGAGGTTCACCACTTTTGTGACAGGCCTGGGGATGGTCTCCAAATAACGCAAGAATTGATGATTTTTGAGACTTAAAGCTGAATAGGGAACGGAAAAATATGGAATATGGAAGAATAAAACACGAGAGTAAAGTCGGTACATGCTGCTCCAGATTGGGATAGTCCCCTCTTCAACCTCAGCGTATTGTCTTCTCGCAAACCTCATGTGATTCCTGATGTATAGCGCGGACAATTCGGGCGTGTCCCCGAGAGACAGCTTTGTACACACATCACAGGGGGTAGGTGAGTTTGCACCTACCCGCGGCCGTGGTATTTCTGCAGGCTGCAGACCAACAGGGAGGCAAAGCATATGTCAGCTATGCCCACCAATCCATTAACTAACCAGGAGTCAGCACTTCATTTGTCTAGATGCCAACTTGGTTGAAGCAAAACAGGGTTGGAGCATGAACTAAGAAAAAGGAGAAAAGCGATGCTGCACAAACTTCTCTCGTTGCCTGGGTAAAAAACACAAGTCTGCGCGACCCAGGCGCCTCACGAAATTGGCACCTGCAGTGTGAAGGATCAGCACTGCTTGCAGGGCCGACTCAAGCCACTTGTCTCAGGCCGCTAATTCTGTCTCAAAGGCCAGGCAGTGGCAACAGACTGAGGCCGTTGGCTTCCAAGCATTTGAAGAACCGACATAAGCAGGTTGAAAGACCTCTTCTCAGCCACGGCTCAGCACCAAGCATGTGAAAAGCCAGCTCTAGGCATTGACGACACAGTTTTCACAAGCACGGCCAGCTACCAAACACTTGAAGTACCATCATGGCGCAGTGTTGAGGTAGTCTGCTCAACCGCTGCCAGCCGACAAAGATGTCAATCGCCAGCCCCGGGCATGGGCAGAGTAATTTGCACAAGCACAGCCAACCATCAAACACTTGAGGTACCATCATGGTATAGCGTTGACGTAGTCTGCTCAACCGCTGCATGTCCACAAAGATATCAATCGCCAACTCCGGGCATGGACACAGTAATTTGCACAAACAAGTCCAGTTGCCAAACGTGTGAAGCACCTTCATTGCGATGGAGCATGGCAGACTCAAGCATGCACGGTCTTCGCCCAAGAGAACATCAGGAACAGGGTGTCAGGCGCTTCGAGCACCTAGAACGACCAAACTCCATGGCAAACTAACCGGATGAAACTACTCCCAGGGATCTGCCGACTCAGCCACACTAACTGGAAAGTCCTGGGCCCGTGGCTGATTCCTGATGTATAAAATTTTCAGTATATATCAACCTGTCAAACCCGAGAACTCTTGTAGCGCTCATGGGGTCACGGTATATCCAACAAAACGAGTCCGCTGTGCAAGCCGGATAAACCACAGGCCAAGGGCGCGTGCGAATCAAAACAATGGAAATGAATCTTGAGAAATGACTGAAATGACCTAAGAAATCTAGCCCTATCCCATTTCATCCCTGCTGATAAGTATCCTCCCGATTTTTTGGGTCGTAATCCCCGATGAACCGAGTGGATCCGACCCCCAATGGTCGATGAACCCGCCTGGTTTCCGTCTCCAACGCCTGGTTTCAATCGCGAAGAATGTAGCGACTAGCGACCATCTTCATGATTCAAAGAAACAATATGTCAAGTGCTCAAATCAACATCGGCAACCACAACAAATTACTATGTTTGCCCAGTTTGAAGGTGCAATCACTCTTTGTGTTGTTTTTGTGCCGGTTTTTCACCATTTCATCTTCGAAAAGCAATGAAAATCCCAAGTTTCCAACAAGGCTGCCATGGAACACGGAGAACCAGCACAGGCTGCGGATCATTTCCTGGTTTAACTGCTTTGGTTTTCACAACGGGGTAGTTGGAACGTGTTTATTTTTTTCGTCTAACATATTACCATTTGGTTATGACTCACATAGCCATGGTTAAAATCACCATGCTATTAATAGGTAAACCATCTATTTCTATGGGCCATCTACACCATGGCTATGTTAAATAACCAGAGGGTATACATATATATGATTCAATGTATACACTTAAAAAAAAATATATATTGACACGTTTAATTACCGACCAGGGTTACTTACTGTATTGACCAATTCCTAAGTGGGATGATCAATGATAATTTTCCAAATAGAGAAATGTTCAATCTCAACATCACCCATAGGAAGGAACATCTCGCATATCCATTCGGCTGCGTTCTTCAGATCCCAGATCGTGCCAAATAGGATTTTTGATCTGAACTATGGCTGACATTTTGGGAATGAAATATCAAAACATTTTTTTAACTTGAATCCATTCCCAAAAGTCTGTTCGTGCAATTCGAAATTGAAATTGTGTTTCCAATTTTGATAAACGAGTATGGGTTAAAGTTGAATTAACGGTTTTCTGCTGGTCTTGAGTTTTGATTATACACATTTCCAGTGGGACTCTCCACCCATGCCGTGGGACGCAGCTGCTCCTCCGCCCCTGGCTACAATTCTTCCTGTTCAGGAAGACGGAGATGCTGCATGAGCCCAAACCGTTGCAGTGACAACAAAATTTGATCAAAATGATGTATTTCAATATCACAATGTGATCATGAAAAACGGATGTTTTTTGACATAATGTTTTTTATCATTTGGTTCATTGAAAATTTCAAAAGGTTTGAAAATCCCAAAGACGGTGACTGCAAATTTCCTGTTAAAACAGCCAGAAAAAAAAAAAAAAAAACATTTTTTTTTGCAGCGTGTTTTCATGCGGAGGGAAAGGAAAATGGAAAAAACTCATTGTTTTTGCCCCGACCCATCCCAGAAAAACAGGCATTTACTTTTTGTTTGACGCATTTTATGATGTTTTTTCAATACATCTATAAACGTTTTCAATGTATGTGCGTACGTACGTACGTACATACGTACGTATGTATGTGTGCGTGTACGTAGGTACGTACAACAATTGGTATGTATGTATGCGTGTATGTATGTATGTATGCATGGATGGTATGTATGTATGTATGTATGTATGTATGCATGTATGTATGTATGTATGTATTGTATGTATGTATGGTATGTATGTATGGTATGTATGTATGGTATGTATGGTATGTATGGTATGTATGTATGGTATGGTATGGTATGGTATGGTATGGTATGGTATGTATGTATGTATGTATGTTTGTATGTATGTATGTATGTAAGTTTGTATGTATGTATGTATGTAAGTTTGTATGTATGTATGTATCTATGTATGTATGTATTTATGTATGTACGTATGTATGTATGTATGTACGTCTGTATGGTATAATGTATGTACTGTATGGTATGATGTATGTAATGTATGTAATGTATGGTATGTAATGCATGTATGGTATGTATGGTATGTAATGTATGTAATGTATGTAATGTATGTAATGTATGTAATGCATGTAATGAATGTAATGTATGTATAATGTATGTATAATGTATGTATAATGTATGTATAATGTATGTATGTATGTATGTATGTATGTATGTATGTATAATGTATGTATAATGTATGTATATTGTATGTTTAATGTATGTATATTGTATGTATAATGTATGTAATGCATGTAATGTATGTAATGTATGTAGTGTATGTACTGTATGTAATGTATGTAATTTATGTAATGTATGTAATGTATGTTATGTATGTTATGTATGTGATGTATGTAATGTATTTAATGTATGTAATGTATGTATGTTATGTATGTTATTAATGAATGTAATGTAATGTAATGTAATGTCATGTAATGTCATGTAATGTATGTAATGTAATGTAATGTAAATGTAAATGTAAATGTAAATGTAAATGTACATGTAAATGTAATGTAATGTAATGTATGTAATGTATGTAATGTATGTAATGTATGTAAGTATGTAATGTATGTAATGTATGTAATGTATGTATTGTATGTAATGTATGTAATGTATGTAATGTATGCAATGTATGTACTGTATGTAATGTATGTAATGTATGTATGTATGTATGTATGTATGTATGTATGTGTGTATGTATGTGTGTATGTATGTATGTATGTATGTATGTATGTCTGTATGTAATGTATGTATGTATGTATGCATGTAATGTAATGTAATGTAATGTAATGTAATGCAACTGTAAATGTAAATGTAAATGTAAATGTAATGTAATGTGATGTAATGTAATGTATGTATGTAATGTATGCATGGTATGTAACTATGTACGTATGGTATGGTATCGTATGGTATGGTATGGTACGGTATGGTATGGTATGGCATGGCATGGCATGGCATGGCATGGCATGGTATGGTATGGTATGGTATGGTAGGTAGGTAGGTAGTTAGGTAGGTATGTATGTATGTATGTATGTGCAAAGCCAGGAGGGAAGATAGGTCGACACCCATTTGAGACATGTGACTGAGCCCTCGACGCTTCACTACAGTTTCTACTAGGAGGACTAGAGCACGCTTGTCGCGGTATGTTGCGCATCACCTCGCTCCATACCTGGGCTACTTTGTCCGGAGTGTAGAGTCTACTGTAGAGTTCCAAACAAGAATCTTTACGCTCGTGTGCGCGCGACCTAGTTGCCGAAAGACCTAGTTACGCCTCACAACAAAGTCTCATAGAAAAACCACCTAACTCCGTGGAAAACGTCGTCAAAAAAACTCAGCAAAACGGAAAATACCAGTCACTGGTATTTTCCGCTTTACCAGTCGCAATCCTTTTCCACGCAACACACAACGACACATCAGCTGTTTGTCTTTCTTTGCTCTTCCTATTGACATGGCTGCTTCCTTGAGAAACGAAATCACAAAGGATCGCTTGTTGCGATTCTTTCCAAAACGAATTCTCTCAAACTTGTTCGTTTCAAAGCGATTTGTTTCAAATAAGGTTGGCTTCCACATGGCAAAAACGGACATGAAAACGTGCGCAAACGAAGAAGAATTCCCTCTCACTCAGCATGGCATCTGATGTCATTGCTCTGAAAACCGAAGTTCAAATTGAAGCTTCCCGTTTCAGCTTCTCATTCCTGAATGCAAAAACACATCCAACATCCATTTTCCAGCATTTCTTCTCAGAAAAGTTTTCCAAATCTCCAAATGAAATCACATTCACATTGTTGATCTCGAAACCTTGCGGAGCTGCTAAAACGTCACAATGCCCAATGTGGACCCAAACATCAAGGTCGGCCAAAACAGAAAGATGTAACAGTCGGCCAGTGCAGGTCAAAATTGTCGAAGAAGGCCAAAACACCAAAACAGCAAAACATCAGCCAATGTCAAAAGTGATCAGAAATGGTCTGTAACTTATCAAAGGAAGTTGGGAAGCAATACTTCCGTGTTACGGACAAACAGAGAGACTTGAAATGATGAAGGGTGGTGCGCGACTGAGACTTGACCTTGATGAAGGGGGGTGTGAGACTTTACACTACATAACAATACATCAGAAAACAACAGACTTTGATGAAGGGTGGTGTGAGACTTTACATTACATAACAACACATCACAAAAGGATTGATCTTTTTTTTGTTGACGGCCGTTTATACCTGAGGCACGGTCCTGTCAACTGAGTCTCACTCGCGGACCAGCGGGAATCAAACCACCACAGGCAGTCTGTCAGCAACACAAAAGTGACACCATACCAACGACTACAAACATTTTTCGGAGTTCGGCCGATTATAAGCTCAAAGGCTCGGTCCTGAAAATAAGTCTAAGTATGTGAAAATGAGACCCAGAGCCAGTTCAATCTCTGTAACCTGTACCATTTTTTTTCCGTCCAACGCCTTCATGGCTTTCGCCAGGTCGTTACACACGTTCAACCGCTGCAAAAAGATGAATTGTGAATCATGCAAGGCCGTCTACACATCGATAGCCTCAAAAGCACTGGTAATGGACCAATACACAGTCCAGTGAGCGGTCCCATCAAAACAAAACACAAAAAAAGGCAAACAAACAGACAAAACACACAGAACCACAACAAAACCAAAACCAAAAAACACAGAGAAGTGGGATCGCAACCACCTCTGAGAAAAGAGATGCACGATGGGTGTCATCATGAGTATGGCCACCGAAAATGAAGCAAAACAAAGACAACACGGAACAACACAAAGGGGCCATGCAAGAGGGTGAAAGAAGCAACAAAGCTCACTGCGGAAACCGGGGATCCCCGCAGCCAGGATCCCAGAGATCACAGAGAGCAGCCATTCAGGCATAACATTCACCCAGGCACTTCGAAGCAAACAACGACGACGCCGTGTCGCAACGAGAGTGGTGAAAAACGAAAAATAAGGTGAAACAGGAGGTGAGACATCGTCTAATGTGAGAATGACAGCAGTAGCTACGGCATTTCACTCAGAGTCCGCTCAGTAGTTCTTTTCCAAGCATCATCGTCATGGGAGCCGCAAAGTGCTCTTGCGGTGCATGCTGCTTTCAAAACTGTATCCAATGCGATCGAGTTAGCGATGATCGCTAGCTCGACAGCACTTCCTTGGCACCCTACAGCTGCCCATGGCTGTTTACATGCTGGACTACTATCTGCCAATGCTCAGCCCCAATGAAGGCTACAATGAGACGGGGCTTACAATGCAGAGTGCTGGCCCAATTCGTGAGCCATGGCAACCAATTGCATTCGAATTTCTTTTCAAAGGCAGTGAGTTTGGCCATTGGAGAGTAAAAGGAGGACAGGATGCCTTCGCGTTCCGACACCCGAGCCTAGGCCAAACGGAAGTCTACAGTCTCCTGGCAAGTGAGGCACATCATCACAAAGTTAGCCCCATAGGCACGGGAAGGCTTGTGGCAATGGTAGGAACCACAGATGCTCCAGCGAGCGACGTCAGAAACCTTCAAATCCTCTTTGGGCTAGTCCTTGCTATCACGCCACGCTCATCCAAAGGTAAAAATGAACTGCCTGCCACCCGAATACACAGGCAGTGCAACCCCAGAGCCATTGAAGTAGCGTTTCTCTCAGGGCCAGCCATCGATTTCTTTGCCCAAGAGCAACTCCTAGTGCTTCAAGACTGGTACCTTGCCTCTGGCCAGAACCTCGAACCCATAGATGCTACAGTCAAGGGGGACGGGGGCCCACTCCCAGGCACCTTCTTCCTCCATACTATGCGGATGTTTGGATGCACCAAGCCCACTGGTGAGGTGACTGCTGTCGCGCAGACTCCCCCCTGTAGGTACCACCTTGGCCTAGGCATCTATAATGTCCAAACAGCAGTTGAAGGAATGGATGGCAACAAACGATCACATTTGCTGCATTTGTGCGGGCAGTTGCTGCGCCTCGTTCTCATCCCATGTCATGTGGAGGGCGAACCCTATCAGTGGACCCGCACAACGGCACTTTCTTTCGCTGCCGAAATAGACGGACATGTCTTAGGCACGCTATGTGCAGTGACAATGGCATTGCTCACCAATCGGCTAGACCTGTGCATCCAAGGACTTTTTGGTGCAGGCAAGTCAAAATCGATGGCAGTCCTCATCCTCGCCCTGATCGAAATCGACACCACCAACAGCCTTAAGAT